GATAATCTGTAGCTTATCTAAGGACATTCTAGTGATCTTCTCGATCTCATCCATTCATCTTTGCCTTCCCATTCTACGTCCCTCAACCTTGCTAAATGTAGATGTTTTCTCTAGTCCATGGTCCACTCATGTCACGTACCCATAGTATGTGATAACAATCTCAGAAAAGCAGCCAGTCTTCTTTTGATCCAGAACAGGTAGTCCCCAGTTTAAGAATGAGTTCTGTTCCCAAGGTCTGTCCTTAAGTTGAATTTGTACATAAGCCGGAAAAGTATTATTGTATGATACTGTATAAGTAGTATGTAATTAATTTGAATCATTGTGTATTTAACTTGAGTTTTGCTACAATAGGCTCTATTCTTAACTGTGAGTCATCCGTAAACTGAGCGTTCTTAACCTGGGGACTACCTTTATATTCGTTTTTTTGTAGTCCATTGTACAACGGTCTCCAATACATAATTTATAATTTCCATTTTCTTCCTCAATGTCCAACTTTTATAGCCATACATTGCTACTATCATTTAAGAAATTTCCTACTCTTCATGATCTAAATAAATTATAGCAGTTCTCCCTCTCTTAATCTCTTCTTTATTTGTGCAGCACACTGTCAATTTTCTTCTATGCCTGAGCCCGGGAAAACAAAACTGTCTTCCATTTTCAGTTCTTCAACATCAGTTGCGAGTTCACTAGTTATAGTGGGTGATACTAACTGTGGCTTGTTAATATTTTACACTAACCCAGATTTTTCACTTTTCTTTTTTTACTTTCAGCTAACTAAGTAGTACTACTTGCATATCTCAGATAGTTAGTGCTTTGATTCCTGCTGTCATCTCTGCCATTATTATAATATATTCACTGCAGAAATTAGTATGCATGTATGGGGAGTTCTAGTCCTGCTTTAGGCCCAAAAGCTAGTTGGGTGATCTTGGGCCAGTCACTCTCTTTTAGCCCTAGGAAGCAAGCCATGGCAAACTGTTTCCAAAAAAGCTGCCATAGGAGGAACTTGTATGGACTTGTATGGACTTGTTCATGTAGTTGCTAGGAACAAGACTGACTTCAAGGCATAAGAACAAAAAGATAAAGAATAGTATATGTCACTGTCTCACTCCATTCTGGAGCACTCTGTTTCTCCAATCTCAATTCTTAAAGTAGCTTCTTGCTCTTTGTAAAGTTTTCTAGAAGAAGAAGAAGGATTATATTCTACTTTCTGGCCTGATCTACACTATGAAAGGCCTTGTTATAGCTGATAAAGGTAAACCTCTTTCTTAAATCCACTTCTGTATCCATTATCCATTTTTCTTTATTTTGTTTAGAAGATTTCTGTACCAGGTCAGTCTGTCAGACTCTGGGCAATCAACAATTACCTAATGTAAGATTCCCCAGAAGGCCGTGAGAATTGGAGCCATTCTTGCCTCTGCTGCAGGCGGTTCCATAGGAGGAAGTCCCCACACGGCATGCCTGCCCACATCCCCCCCCCCAAATACTCCAATAGAAGAATGTAAATTTTATCAAAATTCTACACGTAAACATTAAAAAAAAACCCACAATACATAAACATATACAAAAACATAAACCTAAAACGCAAAACTAAACATCTAACTTAAAAAAAAAAAATTATGATCCCCTTCCGCCCTTCGCTCTCCTCATGGACCCATTAACCATTTTTTATTTTTTTATACTGTTGTAATCACTATTTAAATTTTCCATTATCTCCCGTTGTTTAATTTATAAAACCCTTTATCATCAAGCTATTTTTCTCTACTTTTGTAATGTAGTCCATAAACAGACTTCATTGTTTTTTTTTAATAAAAGCATCTGTAGATTTATTTCTCATTAGGCATGTTAGTTTTGCCATCTCTGCCAAGTCCATAACTTTAAATATCCAATCTTCAACATTTGGAGCTTCCTTATTTTTCCATTTCTGTGTATATAATAATCTTGCCTCTGTGATCACATACAACAATAAGACATTGTGCCTTTTACTCAGTTCTTCTTCCATCAACCCTAATAAGTACAGTTCTAGTCCAAATACCCCAATAGATAGAGGACCTCCATTTGCACATATTAGGTGGGCAGAATCTGTCCAGGATAGGCCATTTTGAAGTTATGCAGGTCCCAAGTTCAGGATTGAAATAAAAGTTATCTCAAGCTGCTTGGAAGGTCCCATACAGCAGAACACCAGGAAACGTCTGGAACTGCCTTACCCAGTTTGACCCTGTCCCTCTGGTCTGAACATCTAGAAAAAGCCTCTCCCCCCTTCTCCAGCAAGAGATACCTGGGGTATGGGCCTTATGGGAGGTCTTCTCAGTGGTGGCCCCCACGCCATGGATTAAGCTATCCCCAGAGGTTGGCCCCATTCCCCCTTGCATTTCACAAGGCTGTTAAGAACATCTTATGCCAGTGTGACTTTGGCCTTGGTTGACTGTGGGTAGCCATTGCTTTTTCATTGTATTATTTGAGTTACAGTGCTTTGTCTGCTTTATTTTTGCTTTGCCTCAGTTGAATGGGGCAGTTTCCAAATATCGTGAATAACTAAACAAATGAAATAAAAATAAACATATGCAAAATGCTTCCTGCATGATTAGGGGTGATTTCAATAGAGGCGAATACGTGTAGCTCAGGGTTGAACTGTGGAGTCCTTGGGGTTCTCTGGGCTTGGTTCTTTTCTTACAAATGTTTTGTTACCTGGCTAGGTAACATCTTCAGTGCTAGAATGGAATGGGGTTTGCTGTCTGTTTATCTGCTGTGGCCTGCCTTGCCAGTGCTGGTGGGGGTGGGGTTTTGTTTTGCTCCTCTGGTAGT